GGAGGGGTGTTTGATGCAGAACCCAAAGATTAATAATTACAACGGGAGGGGGTTTTAGGGGGGGGGGGGATGGGGGGGGGGGGGGCATCCAGTTGTAGAATTATTTTTGTCCAGGTGGTTGGGGGGGGGGTGGGGGGGGGGCAGGCCTTTTCAACCCAAGGAACCCCTCCCCCCGGGGGAAGGAGGGGGGGGGGGGGGGGGGGACTTGCCGCCAGGGACCAGCCAGACGCAGCTCTGGCTCGTGCTCCCCCTGCCGCATGCCAGCCGTGCCGGCTTGGGGCTAGCGCTGTGCTGCGCTTGACGTTGGCCCTTGCCTCAAACCCACTGGTGAGTACCCTCCCCACTCCCCACACTTGCAGCGACGGCACCTGCAAGAAGTGCGCCGGCTGGTTCTATGGCCCTCCCAGCCTGTATAGAACCCTCCAAGGCTGCAAGCTGGCAACCATGGTGGGCGGCAGCAGGGCCAGCAGGGCGCCACACCCCATCGCCCACCGCATGCCCGACTTGCCCGCCTGCCCGCCCCGCGCCTGTGCCTGCATGCCTTGCCTGCATTCGGTGCACCCCACCGCTGCCCCACGCGCCTCCGTCCCCTCCCGCGCCGCTGCAGCCGCTGCACGGCTGCGACGCTAAGCGCACCCTGCCGGATGGCACCTGCAAGCGCTGCCGCAGCGGATTCGCCACCACTTCACGCGGCACGCGCCGGGCCTGCCCGTGCATCTGCGCAGAGTGCTCGGAGCCCGGGGTGTGCACCCTGTGCCTGCGCGCTAGTCTGGTGGGAGGCACGTGCGTGCAGGTGAGCGGCGCCTCCCACCTGTCCCCGCCGCATTCTGCTGTTGCACCTATTTGAAGTGAATGCTGTGGGAGGGCGCGGCCGCGGTGTTGCAGCTGAGCAAGGGGGTGACGCACCATTACACCAACGGCAAGAGAGAGGCATGCACCCTCTCGCCGTCACCAGCGTGCCACCACAGCCCGGCTGCCGCCTCACGCTGCCCCTACCGTGCCTGGTGTGCCAGTGCAGGGTGGAGGGGTGCGCCGAGTGCCCCAATGGCCCCGCCACCTGCAAGCGGTGCGGTCCCGGCATGGGCGGGCTCAACGCTACCCGGCAGTGCACACCCTGCCTCGACCCCAACTGCCAAGGTGGGGCAGCCGATGGCTGGCAGGCAGCGCAGCAGCTGCTTGGGTTGAGCAGCCACCGTGCCAGGGTTGCCTGGCAGCGCGCGTGTTGATATCACAGCTTAAGCTTGCTGTTGCGGGCAGGCAAGCGCCGCAGGCTCGACGGCATGCTGCTTGCACTGAATTCCAGCAGAGCGCAGCGGCAGGCTGGGCCGAGCATGCCCCCCTGCGTCGTGGACGGCGAGGCATTAGCGTGTGGTTTGTTTGTGTGCTTGCGCGTGAGTTTGGCCATCACCCAAGCCCTTCCGATTATGTGTCTTTTAAGCCGCCGTCTGCCTGCCCTGCTGCCGCAGACTGCGGACAGGACCACAGGGTGTGCACCAACTGCCAGATGCAGTACGTTGCGGTACAGGGGAGCTGCCAGCCGGTATGTGATGGTGCCATGCAATGCAGTGCCTGCATGCACCCCCAGCTCTGCATCACGTGCTCTGCCTGCGTGCAACAGAGCCGCTCTCAACCTGGCGCCTGCCTCTGGCTGGCTGCCGTCTGCCTCCAATTTGCGGCCGGGCTGGGCGTTGGGGTGTTCAGCCCGGCGTGTTGTCTCACTTGCCGCCCGCGCCTGGGCCTGTGCAGTGTCGCAAGGGCTGCGCCGACTGCGGGCACCCCGAAGACGGTTGCCCCAATGATCCCTTCGCTCTGGTCCACTCCACCTGTACCACCAAGGGCGTGCGCAAGGCCTGCAAGAAGGGGTGGGGCCGGGTCGGCAAGAAGTGCGTGCAGGTGAGGCGGCGGGTGGGCAGCGCGGTGCTGGGGCTGTGGCATGAGCGCCATCCCATTAGAGGATGGCTGCAGCCTCTGCCGCGCCCAGTGTGACTGAGCCTGCAGTTGGCGCTGGCGTGCCCTACCGGCCGCCCGGCATGCACAGCCTGCGGCCGCATGCCATGCCCCTCTACTCGGGCCTCAGGCTCGGCTTCGCTGGTGCCACGGTCGGCTGCTGGCGGTCGGTTGTACTGCATGCAGCTGGCCATCTTGGAGCCAGCCCCACAGTATCAGCTGGGGGGGGGGGGGGGGGGTCCCCTCCCTGCCCCA